CTGAACTGTTGAGAACTGTTCCCGTTGCTCATGCGCATTCATGTGGAAATTTGTTTGGGCCCTGGGTTTGTGTGCGTACAGGCGGCCATTTTGATTTGATTTTGACAGCATCTCGGACATGTCTATTCAAATTTATAATTATTTTGGATGTACGCAAGAGGGCGCCACTGATATGGTAGTAATGTTAGATTTGGCAACTGTGCATGTAGAAGAGTGTAGTAGAGATGTGAAATACCGCTCCTTTTATTAGAATGTTCCACGACAAAATATCGAGATAGATACTCTACAGCGAAAATGCACGAGAAGAAACGACCATATTAAGCGATATGGAATGTCATGCGTATCGCCGATTTGCTGTCGCGTTCTGCGTACCTAGTAGAAGCTTTGACTAAAGCTTAGTCTGTAGTGTATTGTATAACGGCGACAGAGATTAGGTGATTCAATGAGAATGAGAACTACCGCCAGCAGTCCAACATTGATGATAATCAGCGAAACTGTACTGAGGCGACGCGATACGATACTCTGCGATATCGTCTATTGCAATATACCTTCTACTTTTCTTGAATACCTCGACTGTTCGGTATCATAAAATCGTCAACGTACAAAGTTGATTTTGGTTCTATTGCAAACAAAACAAAACTACGACCTCTCGCGCGTTTCACTAACCAAGTTAGCGTCCTCAGGAGATGGTTATGACTCATTTGACGCAATTTTATAGTTTCAGTACGAACTATCAAATTGATTTTTGTTAAATTTTCATCCCGTTCATGTATAGAGACAATAATATTCAAATGATCGATATTGAAACAAAACTGCAACTTATTCGATCCCCTGAAACAACCTCTACATATTTATATTTTGTCAAACACGATTCTGTATTGATGGATATCGATGTCGGGAAAAAGTCGAACTGAGTATTCATTTCTCTCGTGGATACTTGCATTCTTAACCTACATTTTAGCTTGTCTCCCTCTAGAATAAAAATGGATTCCACGCATTGGATCAGTACAAGTTTTCAACCATCCATGGCAAAAAATGGATGAAAATGGTATATTGGAAATTATGTGATTGCTGATAATCAACGACCATTGGTTTTGTCGAACATATCGTGAATCAATCCAGTCTATTCTACGGAGATGATGGCAACAAAATAGAAGAGCAATCGAGTGAAATAATTGTAATATTAAAGGGTTCACGAACAGAATACGCCCTCTTCCCCTGCGAATTCGGAGCTGAACGAAAAGAGTACCTAGCAACACGCCAAAATAGTAATTTTCGTAACAACACCAAAAAAAACTGTTATCGGACGTCTTCCGTACACTATATTTTCGGTAACCGGATAGAATAAGAAATCAAAGATACACATTTTGTTCATTATATTTTTTGTAGAACAAAATTTCGAACATTTCAATTCTTATTTGCATTAAATATAATAATTCGAAAAGATGATAGTGCCCCAGTACCCACCAAGCAGAACAAAGAAAGATATAATACACTCATTCACCATTTTAATCAGAAAACAAAAAATCCTCAATAACTACTATTAGTCCTCTTTGTGTATAAATCAAGTCAAACAATTTCCAGCCTCACTTATTAGTCGCCGATGTCAGCAAATGTACCAGAGCAGCTCGCTCTTTCTTCTTTTTCTTCACTACATCTATGCACCTGTTCCTCCATGTACTTTTCCTCAGCTTAATTGGCCTGCTCCCTACGTACCGTCCGTTAATTTCCTTCATAGCTTTCGTGAAATCCGCGGGTTCCATAAAACTAACGAACCCGTACCCCTTACTTTTGTTCGTTCTCTTGTCCCGAATGACTTTAGCCCTTTGGAACGAAGGGAATTTATTGAATGTCCTGGAAAGCAGATCGTCCATAACGTCATCGCCTAGATCCCCGCAGAAAATTCGGAAATCGTGATCCGGCCAGTCAGCCAGAGAATTGTCTTCCCATGTTTGCCCGCCTGCGACTCTCATTAGTTTCCTGTTCTTGGGGCCGCCTTTTCGCTTGTAGTCTTCGGGACCAAAGGATTGTAGGGCACTGCTGGCTTTTCCTAGAAAGAATAATAGATTAGAGGACTGTGCAGGGAAGGAGATTTAAAGATTAACATCAAATCTAGCTAAGACAAATTAGATAAAGTAACTATTCGGTGAATCAATACCTACAGCTTTGAGAAATTATATTGAATTTATGAATATTATGAACTCACCTTGTGAAATAGCAACCTCTGCTGCAACTTTTATGTTCTTCAATTGTTCCAGTTTTTGTTCCACTTCAGACTGTAAAGTCATGAAATCCATCGACTGTGTCGTTGCTGTTGTTTTTACTCTCGGCGGAGCATACAAAGTAGGCTTAGCAGACAGAACTGCTGGCTGAGGTGTGGCTTTTGAGACGGGCTTCGGATATGCTTCGTACCTTCTGGGCCCCCGGTGGATTTGGTGAGGAATTAACATTGGAGGTTGTGGAGATGGAGTAACTCTCCCGATTCCGTTTACGGATGTGGGGCCGTAACCATCCATCATTTGTTGACTAGATATTTCTGCTAGAAATCTGAGAAAACAATAAAACATTAAAAAAATTGAATTACGTTCGCGTTGAAATGGGAAGTATGAAGCCAAAGGTTTTTATTCATAAATAGAGCTGGTATATAGAAAAATTAGAACTCACCTGCTCATTTCATCCTCCATACTTCTGATTCTGTTTGCGTCCATTTCGAAAGATGATTTTTGTCTACTTTCGAAACTGAAGATACAAGCGAATCGCAACTTTCTATACCCTCAGTACCTATCTTATGAAAATTGGTTAGTTCATCCACAGAATATGGTATCTTTACTGACTAAAATATTTATACTCAATGATTTATATATGTTTCAACAATTTGAAGTACCTAAATTTTAGGTACCTGAGTTTAACTTAGTCAATCAATGTTAAATGTGTACCTGTCAATGAATAAATCAAGAAACCTCCAAACAAGAAAAGAAAATAATGTAATAAATAAAATTGCCTGAGCTTGTGTACCAGTTTTCACATTTGAAATAATATTCAGTAACGGGGAGTTATTTGATTATATTTGACCTTTCAGTAAATTACCCGAATTTTTGAATCAACTCGAAACATTTCACTGAAAAAACCATCAACGATCATCTAGTATTACCTGAGATATTTGCCAAAATATTTCAATAATGACACTTTTTCTCTCAACTTTCCTCAGGGCACTCCAAATTCATTTGGACCACGCAATTTTCTGTTGTTTATTTATAAATAATATTTCAATGAAAAATTCATCAAGGACCATATCCAAAATCCTATATTCGAGATATACGATTTTGTAATTCTTGAATAATCTGTTACGTGGAGTATGGGATGGCCGTAAAGATGAATACCTTTTGCCTATACAACAGCAGGTTTTCTTGCTCAATTTTAATAAAAACTCTATTAATATGTGTTTTGGAATGTATGTCTTTCTTGTCGTTTATTATATGAATTGGCATTTTCATTAGTTCCTTTCGTCTACACCTACCGGTTAACCCAATATTATTGCTACCTGAAAATGTATATCCTACAATCGTAATATGTTGTTAAAATCATCTTCAGCATTATATGTGTTCAATTATTTGCTAAACCAATGAATTTATTGATCTGCTCGCTGTTGAAGACGTCTGATTTCTTTACTCTATAACAAAAAATCGCCCTTTCAAGAAGTGCGTGGAGAAGTGGTTATGCTTGCATTTCTTTTCGCTAAAATGACACTTTTCAACATAGATGATTCGACTGTTTCAAATTTTTGCTCTAAATAATCCAAGGTAAATATTCGTTTTGAGGGCATCCGACGATTTTGAAAAAAATTTTGAGTGCACTTACGTACGAAAAAAAAAATTAATTAATAAAAGAATGCTTGCATCAGTTCTACCAACTATGCCATTAACCTCAAAAAAGTAAAATGCATAGATATTTAACCGATAAGCAGCTCCGTACATTTTTTTACATTTTTATTGGAAAAATGTTGATTGTTGAAGTGAAAAGTGTCAAGGAAGGAGGAATAAAGTGTAAACGTGACCTAGTTAATAAATGCTTGTGTTTTAAAATAGTTAATTTTTTTTCGGATTCGTAATCTACTCATCAAAATACGTAAGTACACCCAAAATTTTTTCCAAAATCGCCGGGTGCCCTCAAAAAGAATATTTCCTAAGCCAAAATTACATCCTCTGTAACAGTTTTGCATTTCTTCAAATCCATCCATTTCGAGAACAAATAATAATCGTTTCGTACCTAAACTTTTCAAGCAATATAATTGTGCTGTAGCAGATGCTACTGCATTGGAAATTTCGTAAGAGGCATTTTCAAACTAACTATCGCTGCTGCTTTCCATAGATTACTTCGATAATTGCGAACAAAAACCATGCAAACTTTAAAAAATCAAAATGTCAATCAACTTCATGTCAAATAGCTCTCAGCTATTTGGTAAAGAGGTGATGAAGAGATCCAGAAACGTTCAGCATTTCATTCACAGAGGTACTAAGTACAATTCAAGTGACTCAAGTTCACATTTAGTGATAAATTGATATTAAGTGAATTTTTTTTAAAAATTATAGTCAATAAATTGAAGATTTGACTAAAATAAGCATGTGGGATTGCGATTGTTGCGATTGACAAAACAAAAGCGGTTTAAACACTAGGGTTTTTATCCATATTTCTCCAAATCAGTTTGAAGATCACTTGAAATTTAAATTTCCCCAATCTCCGGATCTCTTTTCCTTTACAATTAATGGGAAAGGGATTCAACTCTGAAAAATTCATAAAAAAAGCTGTTAGAATTACTAATGATTTATAGTTTTGCGACCTCTCCAAAAAGACGAATTTGTTACAAAAAAGCTCTTATTACTTCTGTCGCACCTTTTACCGGTGAATTTCTCTGATATTTCTGTCATAACCGTGGCAACAAAAGTGTAAAAATTCGCTTTAGCAGCTATAAATAAGAGTGGGATAATCATCGCGCTGCACTTGTTTTGCAGAAGTGAGAGTGAAACAGTTTCTTCAGCACGGTTCAGCAGGAGGAAATATGGAGCTCTCGATGTGGACGGTGAGTATACAAACTTTGCGTACCTACTCAATATTACAGTACCGTCAGTAGATCTTTCCACTTGCATAATCAATCGATTTGTGTATCCGAAAGAAGTCGACAAAAAAATTGAAATGAAACGATGCGGCTATTGCTACAAAGTAAATGATTGGTGAATTGTTTTTATTTTTGAAAGTCACTATAAAACAATCATATGTTACGCTCTTGGACGAATTTCATAAAATTCGTTAGCACTTCATTAGATCTGTAAATACATTACATGTTGTTTTCCATATTCCAACTCCGATATCTGGCAATTTGAATGTAATAATATACGGGACATAAGACAGATTATTCTCAATTTGAGGTTAAAATTCATAATTTGAATATTACAATATACGGGACGTTAGACAGAGTATTCTCAATTTAAGGTCAAAATTTATAATTTGGGACGTTAGGCGGGATATTAGACAGACTTTTCTCAATTTGAGGTTAAAATTTATAATTGGAATTATTTAGTGTGGAATACAATATGGCTTTTTTTCAGTCTGTGTCTGAAAATTACTTGTTTGCATAATCTACACATCTTTATATCATCATTTGGAAGATTGCCACATTTTTTTGTTCAAAGATGGAGGAGTAGAAAGCCAAAATCTTTCTTTCTCAAAAAATAATGTTTCCTAAATATATACCCCTTTCAATTTGAACTCAGCTGTGAAAACATTTTTTTGAAGGTAGTATAAAAGACATCAAAATTTAAGGTACCTATATAGCTCGAAGTGTACTTTATATCATACTAGCTGCTCCGGTAAACCTTGTTTTGCCACATGAATTAGGTATTTTCATAGGACAAAAAAATGTGATGGCAAAAATAAACAAAAAAAAAAAATTTCGTCAAAAATAATGTTTCCCGCTGAAGACACCCTTATCACTTAGCGGTATGAAATATACTTTACGATCTATTCTCATACCTACCATTAAAAACTTTTGAGCCGTTTAAGAGGTGTGCGGCAATAAACATCGTGACATGAGATTTTCATATATTAGATTAATAATTGATAAAAAAGTTCCAGCGAAAATTGAATTTAATTTTTTTAAATAAAATTTATGATAAAAAAATCAGTAATATGACACAGTTGACCGATACTTGATGAAAATCCTTTATGACCAATTAGAGAATTTTGGAATTATAGAATTAATAATAAACATGATTTTCCAATTTTTCACAAAACATCTTACACCGACATCGTTATACAAAAGTAGAAGCTTTCAATAGTAGGTATGATAATATTCCACTTTCAGAAAACAAAACAAGTTTTATATTGAATAAACGCGAAACAATTTTTTCAAAAGAATGAAAGAACATAAAAGTTTTATACTGTTTTTTGGGGCTTGTAGCCTTCCACAATCTGAAAAAATAAAAGAAAAATTAAAAGAGAATCTGCTGAAGTGTAGTAAGAGGGTAAACTGCGAAGTTCACCCCGAAAAGTTACCGGGTAATATAAACTACTGAAAAGTCCAATTAGTCAGTAACTTATCTTATACATAAATTTTGCCTACAAATTAAAAAAAAAACAATTGAAAAAAATAAATAAATCACCTTGCTTAAGTGGTTTACGTTTCGGAAAATAATCCTTTTCCGTTTTCAACGAGGTCTTACCTTCTAACGTGTGATTTCCACAGAACTATTCGAAATACACTTGTTATACCAGCTAAAAGAATATATGCGGATTCTTTGAGTTTTCTAATTTTTTCATGAGTTTCTTGGCGATGGTTTCTGTTTCACTCCATTCTATGGCGTGATCACCGGATGATTTTAGAATATGTTCCACTAACCTCGATCTTGCCATCTGTCTTTTTCCTATTCACGATGCTCATTATTTCTCACATCTAGGGATGTGAGAAACCTCTATACCACCACGCGAATGTGGTTAACGTGTTGAAGACACCATCCTGGAAGGCCATGACGAACCCCTTAGCTTCCGACTTCAGCCCAGTCGACCTGAGAAAAACGAACATCAGGCGTTTTGATAAGCCAAGGTCTCCAATGTGTTTCCGCAGAAGTAAGGTGATCTTTGCGGCTTTCATCTGACTTTCTTGCTGAATGCTTTCCAAGTCAGTGACAGAGTTGTGGTCACCTGGTTCAGTGTCGAAAACTATACCGAGTTCATCAGCTGCTCGGACAGCTGCTCTAAAGAGAAATGCTCCGATTCCTGCTCTCTCATGGTCACGGACCATGCAGAGAAGGGGATCCGAACTCCTGACGACTTTACAGGCTGTATCCAGCACCATTCTGTAACCATGGCGACATCTAGTAGAAAAAAACGAAATAAAAAATGACGTCACTCTAAATTCAAGATGGCGGACTGGTTTGTTAATACAACCCATAAAAGGGGTGTTTAATGTAAGGTTCTACTGAAAAGAATAGAAATAAGGCAATGGCGTCATTCTGAAATTAATATGGCGGAATTCCAAGATGGTGAAGTAGTCTTTTATGCACCCTCATGACAAGGGTGTTGAATGAAGAATATAAAACATTTTACACTTTAAATATAATATAGTAGACCAACCAAGAAACAGATAATTAAAAAATAAAATGAAACAGATGAAAATAGTTTNCGCATCCACCGTATTCTCTAGGATAAAATTGATTATACAAGTTTTTGATGGACGCAGAATTGAAAAAACTTCCAAAAAATATATTACATGACCCATATTTTTGAAATAAAAATCAATGATTACATCATCATGTGAAAACCAGTACCACGAACTTTTCCAAATAAAAGAGCCAATAAATGGATTTCAATAATATAAATAGACCCAATACTCGATACTACTTTTTCAATGGAAACTCATCCAATCAATCATCCTCTGTGTTTCAGGTAATATTTGTGATGTCTGTGATTCGTCTGGACTTGGCTGAAGCAAAATCCAACCCTGTAGTCATTCAGGACAGCAAAACTAGATATTCCCAAAAACTTAACGCTGTAGCTTCGACGCCCAAACCTGAATTTCCTTACCACACGTTTGATCAGCAACAGTCGATCCAACCAGACAAGCAGTACCAACCCCAGAACCATTTACCGTCATCCATACTGCAAATGCAACCACAAGTCAATTTGCAGCAACAGGTTAGAAGTAAACTATTGCATTCACATTCGGGGCATGGAGTTCACGTATACTAACAGAAACACATTTTAAATAATATGTTTGGCTGTATCTTTTTCGCAAAAATATTGAGAAACTATTTGTCCGGAAAACTTTCAATGATATATCAAACACCTCATTCTAAGGCGGTGGCTGGGGATGAACAGAAAAGTCCACCCCAATCTACCGCTTGGAATGAGGCTGGACACATCAGATCACCTCCAACAGCAAGGGCACTTCCTGCGGCGGGCGCCGTTCTTTTGAAACTACATATCGTTGGTATCCAGATCATCCAATTCAGACCAAGAGAATGTCGTTGGTGTCCAGGTCATCCAATTCAGGCCAAAAGAAGTTGATAATCATTGACCTACAGTGCTCGCCGTAGACAGTGATGGCCTGGCCAACGTCGTTCCCATAGAAAAATGGACCAATGACGCCGTCAGCCTAAAATACTGTTACGTTTTCCCCATTTAAATAATATGTTTGGCTGTATCTTTTTCGCAAAAATATTGAGAAACTATTTGTCAGGAAAACTTTCATTGATATATCAAACACCTCAATCTAAGGCGGTGGCTGGGGATGAACAGAAAAGTCCACCCCAATCTACCGCTTGGAATGAGGCTGGACACAGCAGATCACCTCCAACAGCAAGGGAACCGGCTGCCCCTGCAGGAAAGCTCCCTCACTTATGCACTTCCACGGAGGGAACTCCAAGAAAGTTGAAGAAGCCGCGCAACGACAGTAATATCGCTGCACCTTCCGAAACCTTCACGGAAACCACCGTGAAACACATAAAGGTTGCCAAAGAGGGTGTGTGTTCGGCGAGTCTTGGCCTAGACCTGCCAATATAAAGGAGATTTCTCCTAATGACCTGTTTACCTTCCTGGAAACGACAGGATGGACGATGACCTAGGAGGACAACTCCTCGGGGGGAAGTACAATGGGTCATATGTGGCCTAAGTGCTACACTCACCCTCCCTACTCTACAGATACCAGATTCAACGTAGCATGAGCTGTGTGGCACGTAGCGCCGTTCTTTTGAAACTACATATCGTTGGTATCCAGATCATCCAATTCAGACCAAGAGAATGTCGTTGGTGTCCAGTTCATCCAATTCAGGCCAAAAGAAGTTGATAATCAATGACCTACAGTGCTCGCCGTAGACAGTGATGGCATGGCCAACGTCGTTCCCATAGAAAAATGGACCAATGACGCCGTCAGCCTAAAATACTGTTACGTTTTCCCCCTGGGTTGACCAATAATTGACTACACTGAATAATCAAACTTAACTTTACTTCACTTTAAATGCAACAAACACTTCAACTATTATTTGAATGTTTATGTCTATGGCCTTAGTAGATCACTTCACGTACCGCACTGTAACGTCCACTTGACTTGGGATACGCTCCTGGCTAGCTTTTATATATCGTTATCGAATGCAGTAGAAATTTTGCCGAAGTTCCATCGAAATCGGTAGCATGATTCTCGCTGCTTCTGGAGCGACAGTGAACATTCGCGCGCTCTTAGCTACGTCACGATTGGTTTATGGCAACCAGTGGCGGCCGGCGTTATTTTCTTTAGAGCATGATTAACAACAATACACACCAAACAGTGACTTATTCGGGGTACAATGGATGCCCTTGGTTGTCATGCCTCTACAGATACAGAGAATATATCAAACATGTTCATAGAATTTTTATACGGGGTGCCAACCGACTTGAGCCACCCTTAATCATGGAGTTTTTAATACGACCGACCTGTATTTTTATAGTAATTTTTTGATCGGTAACATCCTCAAGAATTTTAGGAAAATTTCATGACTTGCCCCATTGAGCCTTTCACAGCGAATGGACACTATCAGCTGGTATTAACCCCAATCTGTGAATCACTTGATTTCTGCGAATTCAAAATGTATATGAAAAATGGTGAAAATGTCAGCATGTTTTTGAAGAAATGAAATTACACTTGGGACGATGAAAAAAATGTAGGTACATGTAGCATCAACAAAATACGCGATAGAACACTCACTTTTATGTGCTGTCTGTTCATAAATAAGGCGAATTTTCATCTTTCTCAGCGATTCGGCTTTGATCTCCTCAATTGTAGCAAAACACCGTCCTTTCAAAGGTCTTATCAATGGAAAACAGTCACAAGGGTCCAAACCTGGTGAATATGGTGGTTGGGGCATGATTTCGGAGTTGTTTTTTGACATTTGATCGAACTTGGCATTCTATTTTTGGTCTTGGCTTCCCTGGGCTCTTCCACCGGGATGGTTGTACTTTGGTTTCAATGTCATAACCATATAACTATGGTTATGACCCTTTTAAGGAAATCTAGATAGCCGTTGACGTCATTCAACAATTTTTTAGCGATGCTCATGGGAATGTTTTTATGGTCAGCAATTTTGAAGAAACCTCGTAAATATTGATTTTAGGGTTTAATTTGTTATTTACTCTGGGTCACAAGCTTTTTCATCTTTCAGATCTGAAATTAGAGTTTCATCTTCGTATACACGTTTGTGAGTCGTAAAAAAATTCATAAACTTTTGTAATTATTTTGCTCGAATATTGTTTCTTTGGTTTCATAACTAAGCTGGAAGTTTTTCAACGATATTTACAAAATGACTGTTGAAGGCTTCAGCAATTTCTATTGGGTTAGTCACAAAGTTACAAATATGAATTGGAAACTTTAATATTTTTCCCCTTGAGTTTTCCAATTTGTTATCATATGGTAGAATTGAGTTCTATATTCAAGATATTCATGTTTGATATGCTCATTCACGAAAAAACATCACTTTCAATTGCCATCTCAACAGCCTATATTTTGACTAGGATAAATATCCGAAAAAACATTTTTCGCCATTTTCTGTTTCGAATTCGATTTCAGAATCAATTCACAAAGTTTTTTGAGAGAAATCCATTTTCTGGATCACCCTGTAGTTATAAGTATGATTTCAATAGGTGAATACGCGCTATGAAAAAGCAGATTTTACCATCAAATGAAACTTTTATCACAAACCTTGTTGGTTTGATGAAAAAACCTTATGGGGGACTCATTGAATATCTGAAACTCTCAAGAATATTGAAAACAAATTCATCTCACGATATTATGTGTACATTGTCCGTTGAAAAAATGCGTATTTATCCGTATTTGAATTGTCAATGTAGAAGGTGGTCCAAGTCGTATAGAAGTTCTTTGGAGACTTATTGAAAGTTCCTATTGCAAAGTTCAAACACATCTCCAATATTTCTGCGTAGAAAAAAGATGCATCCCAAAACAGAAATGGGATTTTTTTTTGCGGAACCGAAAAGGTCGAGTCGTTTTTTGGATATCGTTCAATAGTATCCAGAGAAAGTCAACTTTGTCATTATTCGACTCACTCTCTATTTCTTACTGTTTACGAGATCCTCCATAAATATACTCAACTTTAAATGACCCTGTATAACACAGAACAATCGAAAGTCAGCTAGTTTTTTATGAATTTTTTATACAGCAGCTTCAAGCTCCTGCTCAGCTGAATCCTCAGTCCCAGCAACAGATCCTACAACTGATCCAGAAGGCTCTACTTACAACTCAACAGAGTAATCAACCTACTGCCATGATCATCATAGCTCAACCAGCTTACGTTCCTCCAAACGTTGTTTATGCAGGCCCTTCTGGACAGACCCAGCAGTTATTGAACTATTTTCATGGAAATCCTCAAGCTAGGTGAGTCCTTGAATTGTGTTGTCTAATACTAATACTTCTGATAATGAGAATGAATAAGCGGGGATGATCACTAACAACTGAGGCCTTTGGTGAATTGCACCACCACCGTACCGAGCTACTGGTGCAAAACCGGTCCAGCAGCCGAGGCGCACCCAGAAAGAGGGACACTATTCTCCTTCCAATGCCGATCGTGAGTCTAAAGGGCTAACCACCAGGTAGACCCAAAACTCGGTTCCTGGTAGTCGAGGAAGGGGTCCCACAATCTACACGCTCGAAGGGATCAGAAGCAAGGTGGTGGGGTTCATAACCATGATTTGCCTACCGATGATAACCTTGGCTATGACAACGGACGCTTTGGGTGGACGCATGCATTGATCCGATAGTAATGAACCCACGCGAAGAGGGACCATGGTGAGAATGCATGCTCTTTGATTTGAAACACATGCGGAGCATACCACCTTTCCCGTCCAAAACCTTAAGGATAACTTATCCTATCTTCAACGGCAGGGCAATATAGCTCCTCCCTAGCCTGCTTACGAAGTGGAGGGAGTGACAGTTCTACCATTAGTTGGCACGGCTTGAGAGGAGACTCGCATAATGTCACCAATGGAGATAATCAGAACACAAAGGGCGCCTCATAGAATTAGGCTCCTGAAGCCACAAGAACTGGCTTGTTTGGATACAGAGGTTCATAGTGTTCCAACAGAAGAGGCTGACATCTGACAAATCAATACCTCCATCCAATCGTTTTCCGAATCGAAAGGACGAAATCCAGACTTGCGGTACGGAAGATTGAACGGCGGGTACACAAGTTGGAGGCTAAGATCACATTAGTGAGATAATACGCGTCTCGCATTCAATGCGTGATGGATTACTGGGCGCACCAGCAGTACGGCGAATAGCTGCCAAACTACGGCGTATCCATCATACTTTGAGTCAAAATATGCTGATGATCACTAAAGAGCACTGCCTTGATAGAATACGAATGCCAGTGGCTGCTAAGAAGTCACTAGTGAGGCGAGCGACAAGCATCGCGGTAAACCCTAATTTCCGCAAGAAATCTTCTCGCTTAATAATCCGCTAACGACAGATCAGGAGGAATCTTTGTGAAAGGTCGTTCATATACACTCATAACAAAGTATATGAAAGAGGTAACATGGAACACTGTCATCCTCAAGGGCGGACATCGATGTTTCGGAATAAGACACTTGTCTTTTCGCCTGTTCAGCAACAATCTGGAAAGTTCAACACTCTGTATTTTAGAAATAATGCATTTCCAGACCTATATTTATATATTTTTTTCATAAAATCAGTTCCCAAACACGCCTTTTTATCTGAATTTATTGGAGCCTCTGGAGACCCCCTACATTTTGTTTTATAAGAGAGAGGACATTGTTAGATCAAGATCTTCAGATGATGTGGTGCTGCAGGTTTTTCCGGGTTTTCCTGCAGCTGAAAAAGCAAATGCGCCACTGGAATCAATGAAGTCGCCCCGGAGCGTTGTTTTTATTTTATTTTTATCGTTGTTTTAATAAAATGTTCATATTCTCTCCACTATAATTAAGAAATACTCTGTACAATGAAATATGCATCGCGATTTTGTAAATTGTTACGTGAAAATCTGAAGGTTTATTTGACTGCGTTATTACGGATTTTCATTAAGTGTTGACCAATTTTCAATTTTTGTACCAATCAATGTTTTGTAAAACCACTTTGAAAAAATGTGTATCTTTTTACAAATTATAGCGATTGTCATCTTCACAAATTAGAAATTCTCTCATTCGTTTCTGTCGACCGAATCGGTGGAATTTCCGATAAATATGCCACCATCATTCCGCGTTTTTAAACAACCAATCAAAATGCCACCATGATACATATTAATTAATTGAATCGACAATGTAAAAAATGAAGTAAAAGTACCTACTCCGCATTTCTCTTTTACTTCAATTATTACGTTGCGATATTAGTTCCATATATCTAATGAGGCTTTAACTTTCATCTCTCTGTATTGTGAAAAAAGAAGTGCCGCCATCCGGTTTGGATACGGTAGATACTCGAAGAATTTGAAAGGAAACCGAACAATCGATTGATTTCGATCAACGGACATGATTAAGTTTTGATGTACTTTCCCATTTTTTGTTTACAAGTTCGTTTCGTTTCATCACTTCGTCTTGAATTTCAGTAATTTGACCCTTCCTAAATCGTAAGAATTCATCATTATAAATTCCTTAGGGAATTCTCATCAACAATTTGTTTTATTGAATGGATAAAAACTAAATTTGTGAATTTTTTAGATACTTAAACATGTAATTACGAAGTCTGTTCAAAAAATGAGGTAAATTATCTGATTTTTCTCAAAAAATATTTTATATTTTGTCCCTTTCAGAGTAGTCCCCCTCAGATAAATTACACTTGTGTCAGCGTTTTTCCCAATTCTCGAAGTACTACCGCGCGCTATTTGTGTTGTTTATAGTGACTTAAAAGATTCATCTCGGCGCAAACATGGAATTGAATCGTGAAGATTTTCGTGCGATTATTTTTTACAACTTTCGACGCGGATTAACTCAGCAACAGTGCATGGATGAACTTAATTCAATTTTTGGCGATGAAGCTCAATCAAGGACCAGTGTTTATCGATGGTATGGTGAATTCAATCGTGGTCGTAGTTGGTCGTAGTGAAGGAATTTATTTTTTCGTGCAAAATCAAACTGAAATACTTCACGTAAAACATGTATCAAAGATAAAACTAGCATGTCACTGTCAGTGGTGACAGTGGCAGTGGTCTGAGTTCAGGTTCAGAGTCAGATGTCACTGATCACTGATACACTGATGCCAGTTTGTGACAGGTTTCACTGTCAACTGTCAGTTATATCTCTTTCTCTCTCTAGTCTCTGTCAATTATCATTTCTCAACAGATAACAGATGTCTCTTAGCAATCTTAGCATACTCCTTCTCAAAATGGATGTGACCTGACCGCAGAAGTCATCTGTGACGTGACCTTGATTAGATTCAGGAAATGTAATGATTTTAGCTATATTTTGAAATGTACGTAATGATGTAATGATAGAAGTAAATTGTAATGAAATCATTACAATTGTAATGATCAGCACAACGCTGGTATGAGCCCGAAAGTAAACAGCAGTCGACTGTATGGATGTTTCAAGACGAGTCAAATCCGACAAAAGTCGTTCGCGCACGAAGCACTTCCAAGAAAATGGTCGCCTGTTTTTTCGGAAAAACTGGACATGTCGCAACAGTACCACTAGACCAACGCAGAATAGTCAATTCTGAGTGGTACACAACCATTTGTTTGGCAGTTGTCTTCCAAGAAATCAGGAAAACCACCCGACGAAGACTGATCACTCTTCACAACGACAATGCGGGCTCTCACACATTGGCTCAAACAACTGCGATTTTGAGCATCCAAAACATCATTTCCAACCATGGTTTTCGTGTACATTTTATTTCATGAGAAGAATTTTTTCTTTTACTTAAAAGTTAACGAGTTCATATACACTTACTTCCATATCAACATGAAAATGTCTACTGCCGTAGATATTTTGAAAATAAGGTTTTTATTCTGTTTTGTGTTATTTGGATCCCATGCATAAATAATTTTCTCTCCCAATGCATTTCTTGCACTTGTTTTTTATATTTATGGGCGTCATGGGCGTAGAAAATCCCATTTTCAATAATTAATTACAGGAGAACAACGGTATTTAGAAAGCTGAAACAAAATGCACTCTTTTTCAATTTGAAATTACTATCAACTAAACTGTAAACCAAAAATCACGAAACGAGTCCATTCCATGAATTGAGCTTTGAATTGCTTTCGCATCCACCGTATTCTCTAGGTATGGCCTCCAGCGACTTTTTTCTGTTCGCAGACCTCAAAAAATAATCACCGGTTAGAAAATTTCTGAAACTGTGGCCTATATTGAAGCAAAACATAAATCGTTCTACAAAAGTGTTATTGAAATGTTAGAGCGACGCGTTGATGAATAAAGCTAATTTTGAACAAAAAACTGCGTTAACTTTCTTAGGCCCTACACTTTTTAGCCCTTGAGTTCTGATATATTCTTTTAAGCTCCCTCAGCGAGTTGGTTTTTATCTCCTCAATCGTCGCAATACGCCATCTTTACATGTGTATCTTCAATTTTGGAACAGAAAAAAGTCGCAGGGGGCTAAAACTGGTGAATCTAAGGCATGATTACGGTGTTGTTTTTCCACATTACCAGACGACAATAGGCGTCATAGAACATTAACATAATTTGGTAAAGCCACCAATAAAATCGCCTTTTTTTTAAAACAAAGACTTGCATGTGGCTTACCGAACGAATGATAATTTAAGCAAAACACAATAAAGGGATAGATCAGGATTATATAAGTCAACTTGTGGTTGTTGTCCGAAACTTTATGTTGGTCAAACGTAGAGAACCTTTCCACAACAAGTAAAAAAACAGAAGTAGTTTTTTGAATGTAGAGATCAACTCTACATTTACAAATCACATAACCGTTATTTAACGTTTAAACTTTCATTTCTCTAATTGAAATAGCTCTAGATATTTCTCGTGATAAATTCTAATGAGACACCAACAAAACCATGTGCAAGATGCAGGGAAAGTGACAGCCCAGCATAAATCAAACTCGTCGTCACTACCGCATGACTTACACTCCTCGAGTTCCCTTTTTTACTTTTACCGCGTTACTTTTCCTGTATTGAATCACGGCATCCTTTCAAATACTTCTTTTGCGTTATTATTAATAGCAATTTCTCATTTCACTGGCCGGCCAGGAGAATGTTGCATTAGTTTTACACGCACCATGATCACGGCCAAGGAGAGTTATCGAGACCTTGCTTCTGGACATCGCAGTATCTTGCAATTAGCGGTGATTTGCTTTCACGTGGTAAATTAATTGCTACAGGCGGTGTATTCTTATTGTGTTAGATGAACTACACACGGTTCTTGAATGATTGCATGGTGGAACATAATGGAAGTAATTGGATTCAATCGTGGACAATTCTAGACACGAGGTGGTCAAAAGTGAACGAAGAAACTTGGCTGGACTTGACATTTTTGAATGACTATGCAACAATCATTATTCACGTCACTCTGAATCCACTATGTGGCGGATGAGCCAAGATGATGGGCTAGTTCTTTTAGACACCCCATGAAATAATCATCAAACAAAAGAGTTCACTGAAAAGATTACGAAAACCATGAATGTAACACCAGATTTGTCGACTTATTGAAAATGCCAAATCTGCGTTTGACAATTTCTAAAATGAATTCTTTGAACTCAAATCTGTACAATAAAATTCCGTCAAACATAAAAAGTCCCAATTTCAATCAGTTCAAAATCGCAAACAATATTTTGAATGTAGATGTTTTACAGAGTTTTACACATTTAGTCACCGATTTGTGCTCCGACTGATCTCAAGTTTTCTTGAGCTTATTACTCGAGTTTTTCGTCACCTGCACTCTCTTTTCTTAGTTTTGATGATTTCTCTTATCGTCCTATAGGGTTTGTTCCAAGTCTCTTCGCCACGTAAGAGACTTTCCATCATAATATCGGCACTTAATGTGGTGTTTGTTTCACGTGCATACAGAAGTCTCGCATTTTCCCATCTTATACAGACAAAAAGGGTGTGTTCTACGTCGTCGTCTGCATTACAGTAAAGACAATCTGGAGATTCTGCTCTTCTGCGGTTATATAGGTACCTACGGAAACAACCGTGCCCCGACAGTGCCTGGGTGAGGTAATAGTCCACCTCTCCGTAGGTTCGATTCAACCAACTCTCTATTGCGGGCATTAATCGGTGTGTCCATCTACTGTATTGACCACTATCCCATTTTCGTAAATTTACTGTCAGTTCATACCATTAATTTCAATGTACTAGATGAAAAGATGTAGAATGAAACTGAATGTAAGTTTTACCGCTTTTCAAAATAAAAAAAAATCTGTGTTCAATTATGATCTATTTTAAAGCAAAAACCGATGCCAGAAATCTATCAATAAAAGAAGATGTAGGTCTATTGATAAATATACGCCGCTTTCGAATGTGTTTTCAAACTACAATCAACTGCCATTTTCATTTTCTTCCTCACAATTGAATATTTGGAAAATTTTTGGATGGTAACTTATTTTCAAAGGCCGACAGTAATAAACTAATAAATTACAGGTACCAACTCCTCCAGGGCACTTCCCAGCAACAACAGCAACATCCTCAGCAACAGCCCATCCAACACTACGTACCACAGATCTCCACCTCCAACACCTTGGGAAGCTTCCAAATCGCACAACCGTCACAGCAATACCAACAGAACTACAACCCCCTCCCCACTCCTCTGCCCCTAACCACTCACATGTCCCCCGTCCAACCCTCAGGGAACTACCACCAACAAACTCCCCTCCAGCTTTCTCAAATATCCCACCTAGCTCAGTTGACTTCCCAGCACTTTTTTCAGCCTTCCCAGCAACAGTACTCCCTTCCCGGTCAGCAGTACGACCTTGAGTCAAGACAAAACGGCCCGGAGCAGAATGTACCAGTAAGGTCCTTGCCTCCAATCATCACAGGGTTCGAGAATTTCACTCCTGAGCAGCAGTCCAAAATCAAAGAGCAGCTGAGCGCCCACTTTGGAGCCCCCCTGCAACCCCTACCAACTGGGGAGAGCCAGGAGAAGGATCCACAAGAAGGAAAGTTTGGGTAAGTTTGCTGCGAAACGGTTTATGTAGGTACTTTAACATGCTTGATTCAACAATGTTATTCAATAACTCATAATACAATTCAATATTTTTTATTCCAATGAGGCATCGTTTCATATTTTTTTGTTTTTTCTAACTACTTGGGAGCCGAAAGGGTTGAAATGATAAAATGCTTTGTTTTAGAGCTCTCGTATGAAAAATATATTGATTTTCGTCAGTGCTAGTTTGTACAGGTTCTTTGTTGAATGCAGGTGTAATAAGCTGAAAAGAGTCGAAAAATAAAAACTTGGAAAAAAATTAACAGCATCAGTGTATAGAGAATAAAATTCTCTATCAGTCAGTAAGACACATGACATTAAAACGGCAAAACTCTCATTTATTCTGGTTTCCTATCTCTTACCTATTTTGAAAGATTTGAAGGTCGTGAATTCTCATTCTGGAAAATAATAATAATAAATAATAATTGAATTTGATGTGCTTTATATATGGTTTAGGTGATGCGAACTTTTCATGAAATGTAACATCTGATCGATCGATGATGAAAAATATAATACCCAAATTTAATTTTCAGACAATATCAACAGAAATACAATTCCCAAAGACAGAACCAGGACACAGAAAGCCGATTCCAGGAATTTGCTTCGAAATATCCGACACTGAGCACCAGATTAAACATCCAAGAGTTTATCCCTAGTCAACAACCCAAAAACAATAGAAATGAGAGAGGCAGTAGCATAATGCGTGTCCCAAAGTCTTCATATACCAATTTGTAAACTGATTTATCGATTGGGTTTCAAAGGGATTGACCTTTTACTCTTCGAATAATAAACTTGATATGTGAAGGGATTGATTACCAACATAATCCTTTTTATAAGATATTGAAGGTTTCAGTCCAATGATAGAAATTATAGCCTTTTACACTTTACGAAAGACAATTATGAAATCAATATCATTCGTTGGTTCTATAAGAAAATAATTCATTCATCAAGAAGTAATAGCCAAATGTTTCTATATCAAACGAAAACCAAAGTTTCAAAAATGACTGTGGCGTCACTACCTATGTGACTTGATTTCCCTCACTTTCAAACCACTTTCCAAAGCTTATATAATTTTTTTAAGCAAAAAAAGTACATGAATGGAAATGCGACATAATTATTGAATGAGTACTACTCAGTCAAATATCTCTTCAACAAAATTCCAGATATACTCAATGTCTTTGTTTCGTAATACGAAATGCTTCTTTGAAAATCAGAACTACCCATAAAATCGACCTCAACGTGGTTTACTGCACCTTAATGGAAGTAAAGATAATAAAAAAAGGGAAGTAGAAGAAATTAACCTCAAAAATAGGTTGGGTTGGCAATGTCGCACGCACATTCATAACAACAGAAATACAGGAGAAAAACAAATTTTGCTATGTTCATATCATATATTAGTGATGTAAGGATCATTGGTTTTACTCAATTTTGAAAAAACTAGTTACTGATAAAAAAAATTGATGTTAAAACCATGAAGCCTTGACGAAAAAAAATACTACTTCTTGTCCTATTGTTTGATTTGATATCGTAGGGATTCATTTCGGCTCAAAGTCCTTCGAATGTTATAAATCCTTTTGAGATTTTTGTAAGTTGTAAATACTCTGTTAGATTCGTAAGTTTTTATACCTGTTATAGTTTTAGATTGTTATTTATTTATTAGGTGGTACAATTAAATATTTTTTGTTGAAATCATTAGTAAATAATGTGTTTTCTTTCCTCCCATTTTATCTAAAATTACACTTCTGTAAAAACGAACTTCCTACTAGAAGTATAAGTTTTACTCATGATTCCAAAAAAACTTTACCTTCTCTATGATACATCATTTGAATAATATTTCATACCTCCATTACCCTCGTGGTTTCTTCATTGACGAAAAATTTTATGTTGAACGTTTCATTGAAAAAACATATGCTTTCGTTACTCTCCTTCAGGAAAATCAACGACAAATCGAAACAATGACCTTTAGCAAATGCTCTACAATCATTCATCCGTTATTCTAAGCCTACCCATACATCATTGAAGTTGTTCGCACTCAGTAACAACGTCTGCAAAATGTTCCTCAAAAAACTGTCCATTGAAACTTGAAAACCTCCCAAGAGAAGCGATTCAACTAGCTGTAAAACAAATTTTGATTTTGCTAAACTCTGTTAACTAATAAAACTTTAAATCATCTATCAACTGTATCTAAGCTACAGATAGACCATAATATTACTGATAAGATACGAGATAAGTGAAAGGCAGTTAACTATCTTAGAAGAGGTTATAGAAGGCGTATCTAAATTGAAACAGGTGACTCAGACCATATTTCTGGAGATGTGATGAGAAAATTCATAGAAACAAGTGATTTTTAGCACCTTGGTGCTAACCTGTCTTTCTTATCAGGATAAGTATCCATGGATTGAACACTGAGAAAGTTTTGACTTGTTTCCGTCTTCAACAGGATAAATTTCTGGTATCATAAACAATATGGGTTTAGAGGTAAAACTAACACAGCTGCTATTGATCTATTCACCAACATGTTACAACTTAGAGGTGGTAATTTTTTTGGTGTTTTTGTGTCTCTAGACCCAAGGAAAGCCTTCATTATATACCACTCACTATTACTAACTACTCTAGGAGATAAATAGACAAGTATTGTCATGATTTAGAGACTATCTGAATGGAAGAACTATGTGAATGGAAGAACTACATATGTGGTTGAGGGGGGTCTTCTTGCTCCATAGCTAAGATATCTCACGGAGTTTCACAGGGCTCTATTCTCGATCGAAAGCTGTTTATAATTTACATGAACCCAATTTCTTGATTTCCCTATGATGGAATAATGCGGCTCTAGGCCGATGATACCTGCCTGAAGTAAATAACTAACAAATAAAAACTTGAGATAGAGGGTAATTTAGACTCAGTAGAGAAATTATAGAAATACTATAAGTTGACTCCAATTAGCCAAAACTTAATGCGAAAAACGAAAAACAGAATGCGATCAACTGCATATCAAAATAGGAGACGAACCACCCAAAAGATCTAAGTTTATCAAGTATCCAGGTATGCAATGATAACTGATCAAAACTCTGAAGGATCGATTTTCAAGGTTAGTGCAGTAAAGGTATAATTTTTGGATAGTAGACACACCCCATTTCTATCCTGTCCAAAGTACCAACTATTGAATTGAAACAGTCAAATAGCGCAGTGTCTATAGATTCTTTTAATCCGTGTTGAAAGCTTGCTTGTATTAGTCATTTGAATAGAAAATTCAGCAGTCTATCATAAACAACGTTTTCGAAGAATTCAGAAAAAATAATGTAGAAAGCGAATATTTCAAAATCTCACAAAGCGGTTAGACGAAAGCGGCTCTTAAATGAAAAAAAAATGGACTCGAAACTCAACTGTCGCAGAATAGCCAAATACTCACAAGTTAGACAACAAACAGCTCTCTAACACTCTTGATAAACAGAATTTGGAAGATCTGGCGTAAAATAAATCTACTGAAAACAGTTTTTCCTCTTTGCAACGAAAATTTTGTTCCTCAATAAATTTTTTGACAGCATTCTTGTTTTGGTGAGGTAGAGGTGTTTTCAATAGATTATTTTTCTCTCTTTAATAATTTCGCATCTATCTTATCTGCTATCATCTATCTGCTTTAGATCCGGAATAAATTTAAACTCCCTCTAGGTTGTTAAACTACAGTCTTCTCACTCATCTGCAACTCATTAAATTTATATTTCCATTCATAATTTGTCGGTCGAGAAACAACAGTCACTCAACAATATAATACAGCACATTTGGAGCAACTTATAATTAGAATACTTCAGATCTATATCGACTGGTACTACTATAAGTGCCAGGAGTATACTTTTTGAGGGTTTGAGATTATGTAATAATTATTCACTACTTATTCACCAAACTCAAACACCTGTTCATGCAGCTACAGTTTCGTAAGAATGTATCATCTTTCCCTCCAACTGTTTTCCTGGAGTCTTTGAAATCCACTAGATACTCGTTAGGACAACAAGAGGATTGTTCTGAATTCTTGGGGTTCTTGTTGAATACTCTTCGTGAGCAAAATCAATACTCCTGACCGCTCTAGATTGAATGATTCCGTACATTTTGTTTTATGAGAGAGAGGACATTGGCAGAGCAAGATCTCCAGATGATGTGGCGCTGCAGGTTTTTCCGGGTTTTCCTGCAGCTGAAAAAACAAATGCGCCACTAGAATCAATGAAGTCGTCCGGGGCGCCAATTAATTTTTGTTGTTGTTTTATAATTTCATGATTTGTATTTTACAAGAAATATGGAACATGTCGATAATTGAAACCTTCAAATCAGCTTCCAAGAAGTATTTGTCCACATTTCTTTGAGAACTACGTTGGCCAGGCACTGTCAACGGAGAGCAATATAGGTCGATGATTAACAACTGTGTTTGGCCTGAATTGGAATATGTGGACACCAACGACATGTGGTTTCAACAGGTTGGCCCTACGTGCCACACAGCTCATGCTCAAAATCGTATGATTTAAACTTGCGAGGCTTTCTCTTGTAGGATTTTCTTAAGTTACAGGTGTATGCTAATAAGCCACAAACTACACAAAGCATAAATTGGTCGTTTCGGATGCGCTTTACCCAGAGGAGTTGTGTCGGACATTTGAACATTATTATATTCCACATTCCACACATAATGGCATAAATGGGCCTTCCAAACGGATAAACAATTTCGATGATATCTCACACACACTTTGTTTCATTTAAATTGAGAGATAGTAAGCGCTTAATGGAAAACCCTACACTTTTAGAAGCATGTGCCAGATAACTGTGTTAGGAATCACACGTTAAAAGATAATACCTCGTTATTCCTTATCTAGCACAAGTTTCTCAACTTCTGAGAGTTGTCGTTCGTATGGGGGCGACAGCTGATTAACGGGAAACAAATAACCAACAGATATAATAACAAATAGCTCTGCTAATTTCATGCGGAATGCTGAAGTTTATCCGTTTCACATCTATGTAATTCATTGCAAGTGACATCTTGTGACTCCCGACAGACCGGGTTCAGGGTATTCACTCCTCAACAGTGCCGAGTATGTTCAACCTCAAATACTCATAATATTTATCACCAGGTGAACCGGTATTTGAGAAGGTCACTGTCGCAAGGTGGCGCTGCAAAACTCAAGGAGAACAAAAAAGGTGACAAAATGTCATTTTGTATTGAAATGTATACGAAATATTCGACATTCAAATTGAACCCATTCAATCTACTACGAGGTTTTCTCGAATTGCCAACAGACATCGATCCATCTACTGTGGCCAACTCCCAATCGATAGGTTAGTAAGTACCTGTTAAGTATATGATATTTATCTGGTTTCTATTTCTTATCATTATATAAGAGGGTGAATGATACCTTTATCGCTGTTTATATATCTTATTCCACATTCCAAACTCTTGAAGGCGTCTGAAAACCTATTGTCACATACCGGTGTCTACAATTTCTAACATTTTTTCTCATTTTGTGGCTTGTAGAGCGACACTAGACTTATCTGGTCTACAAAATTGAATTAGTGGAATTTGTTCATCGAAATGCGTTATTGTTGTGTGGTCAGTTTGACCAACAAACTTTTTGTCGCAATCTTAACAGATCATTTTGTAAATCCCAGACATTTCTTTCAGATTACCCATTATTTGTTGGAGGGTACGAGCAGTTTCCAAAGCCACTTTTTCATGAATTCGAATCAATCAATTGTAATTTGGATAAGCCTATATTTTTAGAATCATAAATAAGCATTGTAACTACGATCCACCACTTGAAATGATATTCTTTCTCATAATGTTTCCGATTGACGAACTGAATGACCAGTAATCGTTTGTTTTATTGTTGAGACGGGCTTATTTAGGACATATTTCACAAATTACCGGAATTTCTAACAATTTATCAGACAAGCAGCTTTCTCACAACCCATTTCTTTTTGGATATAATTACGGAGAGAAGAATTTTAATTATAGTAACAAGATATAATTATATATTATGTTCACGATATGATATGAACATTCAGCTGAAACTTGATTGAAAGAAAAGTTATCAAGTCAGCAGCATGAGGAATAAGTGAAATTTAAAAAATGTGATTCGCTTCATTTTTTACATAGTCCTCTATAAATGTGACTGGAACTAACAAAAAATGGTGTTCTCTCGTTCAAAGAATTTCCTTTATTTGATATTCGATATTTATGCCAAGGATGTTAGTTAATCATTCGAATTGTTAAAAGCCCAATAATTCTATTTGAAAAAAGTTCAGCTACTTCATCAAAGATGGATTCAAAGGTCTGTCAAAAAAATAAAGTAAATTTTCATTTCAACTTTTTTTTGACCAGATCTCGTGTTTGACAAAAAAACGAATTTCTGTTTTTGATCCGATTCAATTTTTATGATCGACTATGACTATAAAATGGTTGCGTCTATAGTTCCTGCAGTCCACGGCAACAGTTGCTCGTTGTTTTAACGTCAGAATGGCAATTCTTCAAACCCTCATTCACTTACGAATTCAAAAAATGATGGCCAACAATCAAAAAGAATTCGAAAATCAAGTTGTTTTCCAAGATGGTGCACGCCAACATTTTTAGGCCTGTGTTTCGATGATTTTCCAGATCTTGTTTTTTCATACCAAGATTATAGGGCTCATTATTATTTTCATCATTTTGTATTAT